TTGAATAAACGTTTTAGTTGAGAGAAAGAACTCTGGGTTAAGAGACATTTCGTAATATTTCTTGTATATCGGATAAAGAATTGATTTTTGGACGGAGTCTTCCTCTTTTAATCTTGGGTGGGTTTAATTTGAAATGACTGTAGGGGTCTGTAAGTTATTTAAAAGGAAATTTGAGGACAAAAAAGATCATCTTCACTAAAAGTAAAGATGATTTTTTTTGTCCTCAAATCTTCCGGGATGAGCTGCCATCTCCTGATTGAAGACGCTGTTTATTTTACTGTTAGTGTAAATTGATGCGAAGTGGCCTTGTTGCTACTGTCCTCAGAAACGTATTTTTATCCATTTTAAGAGAAAGTAATGTATTGAAGAGCTTTGTATTTTTTAGTCATATTTGTGTTTGACAGAACAGTATGCCGAAGAAATTTAGTGGAGAAAATACAAAGGCAGCTGCTGCACGAGCCAGGAAAGATGCTGCAAAACGGGAAGCAAATGAAAAAAAGAAACAGGAGGAGGAAGACGAGTACTGGAGGGATGATGATAAGGCGAATGCACGTAAATTGCAAAGGAAGGTATAATAATAATTTTTTAAAAAAGTGGTCAAAAAAGCTTTTCATGTTAGTATTTGGTAGTAATTTATTTCTATTCTTTGTTATAGCTTACTACATAGTTGGTCTAGGAAGAAGCTGAGCGGAAGCGACAAGATGCTCTTCAGCGAAAACTAGAAAATCGTTTAGCACATGATAGTGAAATGGAGAAATTGGCTGGAAAAAACCCTGTCCCTGTTAAAGTTAGATTAGCGTTCAATACCGTTTTTTTCTTTTTTTTTCTTTCTTTATCATTACCTATGCTGGTTCACTCTTAGATCACTCAAGCTGCAATACAAGCGAATTTAAGAGCAGAAGCCAAACGCGTTGAGGAGGAGGAGAAACGACAGAGGTTGTTGAGAGAGTCTCGCCTTGAGACTTTACAGACCGAAGAAATTGAAGAAAATATTAATCACCTACAGGTTCTTTTATTCAGGAGTTAGTATATATACCTTTTGACCAAAGCAGTGACTTTTTTTTTTATTTTAAGGAAAACAAGTACTTCACATTCGCTCTTTTGTTATAGGTTCGTTACCAGAACGGCTATTCTAAAACTTCAGTTTTCTTTTTGCATTAAACTAAAATTAAAAAAATTCAGCATTGCATTGAGCAGTCCTTGAGAATTGATTTTTTTTTTAATTTATTTTAATTACAGTTTATTTTTTCAGATAGAAGGTGAGGTGGCTCGGTCTGTTACTGAGGCAATCGCTGTATTGTCAAACGACAGCCCAACGATTGATCGTCATCCAGAGAAGAGGGTCAAAGCAGCATACGCGGTATGGGTTTCATTCAAATACTATTCGTTTTTGATGGAAAAATTTATAACTTTTTTTAGGTATTTATTGTCCTTCTTTTTTTGTATACTCAAGGAACCGTTTTTTGCAAAGTGTATATTTTTTAGATGGCTAGATGAGTGTTGAGGGTTTCTTATGGTTTTTTCGGTCTTGCCAGTTTACTTTTTAAGAAAAAACTGATGTTTTCTCTTGCCTTGAATTAAGCTAAAAGAACAGCTAATTGTTAAACCTTTATTATTATTCTATAAGAAATATAAATTGTAAAATTTTTAAAAAAAAGCTTTAGGAGGGGCCATTGTTAATTTTGATATTTCAGGGCAACTAAATTTCTTGTAGCTATAATGTAGATTGTATCAAAGAGTCTGATACCGTGAACTAGAAATGAACAGCTGCTTGAGGAACGGATTGTAGCGAAGGTTTTTTTCTGACAGCTAATGGAGTAGTTTAAATATTTGCATTTCTGAAAATTGGTTAGGTTGGCGTGGAGGTTGGGGACGGGGCGGACTGAGAAAAGTAGGAGGAGTGAATAGCTTAGAAACTCGGGATTTTGTTCCAGATTGTCTCGCACCTACTTCATATTTCGACTGAAATACTTTTCTTTTAAGTCTTCTTTTTTGTTCTGTCGCGTGTATGTTTTTGATAACAGTTTAAAATTAACTCGTGAAGTATTGTGAATTTGGAAGTTGAGGTACAACAAAATAATTTAGTCTGGACATCTTTTGTCTTGTTTTTTGTGAAATGCACTTTTTTTAGATATTAAAGCATTTATTGCATATATCTTATGCCTGAGACGCCTAAAAAATTAGAATAATATATTCAGAATTAGTGGAGGATGTCCAAGCCTTTTGATTGGGTTTAGAGGAAAGAGTCTATAGTTTTCTAACTTTGTATTTCACTTCATGCTTCGCTGTGTGACAAGCAACCAAACTGAAAATAATAGCGAAAGTATTTTATTTTTTACTTTCTTAGTCATGGTAGGTAACAGTACTTGTAAAATGTTCACGAGATTTGCAACAGATAATTAACAACTAGGTTGCTTCAAAATAAATCATTGTTGTTTGTTTGTAGGCGTTTGAAGAGAAAATGATGCCTCGTCTAAAAGTAGAGCACCCGACATTCCGCCTTTCTCAGTTGAGACAAGTCTTGAAGAAGGAGTGGCAAAAGTCGCCAGAGAATCCGCTAAATCAGAAGATTTTAGATATTGTTAAATGAATTTGAAGAAGCAGTCACAGTACTTGACAAATCCTGCAGAGGGCCCGGATGTGATTTTATTTCGTCTGAGTCAGTTTTTTTTGGAGTGATAGTACAGTTGTCATGTTGAATGATTTGCTTCTTTGGATGTATAATTTATCTGTAAAGTATAAAAGAATGCAGTTGAACGAAGTTTCCAGTTTGTTTACGGCTCTTTTGGGTCTCAGTCGACCTTGGTCGCATAGTGGTATTTCACGTCCATAAATGAGTTTTTTAACCCTTTGCCCTGGCGTCTTGTGGTACAATAGAGCCAGAAGATTTCAATAAACAAGTTGCTTTCAAGCACTGCTGCTGTGCCAAGCCGTCGAAAGAACTTCATTGTTCTAATATTTTGTCCACTGCAGTCGTTAACTCAGTAGTGTACTCGTACATCTTTCTTCAGTAAATTTCTGGCCGTCCTGTTTCAATTTTTTGTATCGTGATTTCTTTCATATTGCTTGTGTTGCTGTTATAACAAAGAAGTTTTAATAGAGAAGCAGGAGTTTGGTGCATCTAGGTTTATCGGTAATCGCCTAATTTGTGATTTTACCGAGTCTTTAGCCACGACGCTTCTGAACGCGATCTGATTTGGATTCCTAATTAATATAAGCAGTTGGGACTAATGCAAACTTTAGGATGGTCAATGTTGTTGTTGTTGGAGCGCCTGTTGGTGAACCTCGGAAGTGTGATCGGAGCAAAACAGTAGGTCAGGTGCTCGATGAAGTTGTTACAGATTCTGCTGGACGTGCAAATTCTTGCAAGTTTTTCAGCCTTCTTTTTTTAGCTCTTCGTAATGCAAAGCCTTGTTTTATAATTTTATTCTTAGTTTTTTGGTATTGGGGTTTTTAATTGCATTAGCTTTCGTTTGTTACAGTCATTCCTTTTATGGGGGATATCTTGACAGAAAGTATGAAGTTATCTGATATACCGAAACTGAAAGATTCTTATACGTTGCTTGTGATGCAGAGACCAATCGTTAAAAAGGAAGCGATTCGTTTTGACAACACTAAGTTCCGCGAGTGTCGGAAAATGTTGAAACTAAATAATGGGCGCAAGTTTTTTGAAATGGTACTGTTTCCTAATTAAAGGTTTTTGGATTCTTTACCATTATTTTATTTGGGATCTACATAAAATAGAAACAAGAAACGTCAAAGACTTCTCAGCTAACGCGCAAACTGTTTACCTATACAACTCTTGAACAAAGAAAATTCGGGCACTATAGTATTTTTCTGTTTTCATGCGCTTGAATTTCCAAAATTTTTTCCGAAGTACAACTTTCACTTTTAACATTTTTGTTTTAATTCTTAGTTACTGTTTTGTACTGTACCACTGAGAATTTTCATTCTTGAGTTTGACCCGCAGGGCAGACGTAAGCAGTCTAGTGCTAAGTCAGTACCGCTGATGCCGAAGTTTATAATCTAAGAACTCATTTAGGCTCACTGAGAAGCTGTTTATTTGTACTTCAAAAACTTTTCGGTAATGATTTGTCTTTGGAAAGTGCCATCGATTACAGTTTACATTTTATTCTAAAAAATGTTTTAGCGTTGTAAAAAGTTATTTAATATTTTTTTTCAGTTAAATACAAGTCTACAAGACGAGAAGTACTGTGCATCTATTTACGACAGGTTTCCTGCATTGAAACAAGACTGGGTAGCAGATAGGATATTTCAAGATTATTCTGTTTGCAGCATTTTTTTGAGGCCCTCAAGTGAATGTAAAGTCTTCTTTGAGAAACATCCAGTCAGTTTTTCAAAAGTTTTAAGACTTAATAGAAATTTTTCTAATTTTTAACACCCGTATTACTGAAATAACTTTGTGTGAGGTATCTTTGTAAAGCTTTTTAGGTGTTATTTTTTCTTCAAGTGGAGAAAATCAGCTTTGAAGCTACTGAACTTTATAAACATTTAACAGCAATATTTTGATTATCCAAAAAAGCTTGTCTTTCTACACCTAACTACAAATTAGGTTTAAAAAGACAAACCAAAAGAAAAGAAGGAATTTGATGAACCAACTTACTTCCTGATGTTTCATGAAGTCTAGAAGTCTACACATAAGAAAATAAAAAACTGGTCAAATATTTCATGAGTTGGACAAGACTTAAAAATTTTAGTTTTCAGAATGGTTTGAGTTTTTTTCATCTGGCATACCGTTTCGAGTGTCTTTTCAATTTAATGGAAGTGTAAACAAAACGCTATCTTTTTTTTTTTCTTTTAGTGATGACCTTTACCTCTGTATATATTTTAAAAATTGTTTTTTTGGCGTACATTAGTTGGTTTATTGATTTGGAAGCAAATTTTCGAGATAATAACAGCCGGAAATAAATTATCTAATAGTCGAAATTTTCGCATCAAAATTTAGTACTTAGGTTAGTGCCACAAAATTTCAGATAGTTTTCTTTTTTTTTTGTGTTTTTTTTTTTAATATTGTTCTTTAGTATACGGGACTACTTTTTTGAAGAGTAAACCTATTAAAGTATCAATTTTTATATTTTAAATCTTCTAGTTAAAAATTACATATCGTATATTCATAAACCTTGCAATCGACTTCAAAAGTTTTATTTGAGGTTCTGGTCGAAGTTTATTATCATATTTTGACTGAGCTTGTACAACGAGCAAACTCCACATTCGAACCTGTGGTAAATGCAGATTCCAATCCATTTTTTCCATTTCCATTTGGTTCACATACAGAAGCAGCATCAACGTCACAAAACTCAAATTCAACTCGACAGTTAATTACGCATGACATGCTTCGTCAGGTACTGGTCGTAGTAATTCTACTACTTGTGCCTCTAGACTTTTAAACGTATTTCTTGGTGAAATTTGTATTTTTTATCATTTCGATAGATATTTTTCTGTTTGGTTGTGTGAGTGCTCATTTGGTAGATAATTCTTATGGAAACTTTTCTAAATCTTTAAAACTTATAAGGGTTATTTTTTACAGGAATTCTCGTTTTAATAATTTCAGGCGATGGCTGGTGCTTTGGCAAATGTGAATCCTCTAGCAAGTGCAAGCAGTTCATCTGTGGGAAGTACCAGCAATGCTGCGTATGCCACTCAACTAGCTGAGCTTGAAAGCCTTGGTTTCACGGACGTTGAACAAAATATCAATGCTCTAGAGGCTACAAATGGCGAGGTCGCGCAGGCTATAGAGCTTCTTATCGTAATGCGTGAATCAATGCAAAATTAATTTTTGAGTTTTTAGACTGATTTGGTTTCCTCTGTGGTAAACTCTTAATGTGAGTTTGACAAAAGCTTAATGCTTAGTAAGTTTACGTTAGTGTTGCGCTGCTTTGGGTGTTTATTTTCAAGATGGCAGCTCACTGGAGGCTGCAGTGGGGTTCGCTCGGAGTCCGGAAGCGTGGTCTCGAACAGGATAATTTGTTTAAAATACGACTTGTGCTCGTTTAGTGGGTTGCCTGAGAGAGCTGATGAGAATGATTCTGAGGAGCTAGAAGTTTTTTTCGCTTCCTTTGAAAAGAGTTTTCCTCACTTTAATAAATCAAAAGTGCATAGAGTACTCAAATTATTTATCTCATGGTTTTTCCTGTTTTATGCCTTAATAGAGTTTGAGATTTCTGTTATTTTGTTATATGTTTTGAACGACCAGTGGAAATATTTTTTTACATTCCCGCTCAGGTCATTGGCTAATTTTAATTTTAATCTTTACTTTATGTCTTTTATTCTCTCTTTTGGTACGTCCAAATCTTATTGTTTACTTTGTATTTTTTTGAAAGTTCACTTGTATCTGTGAAAAATTGAATACTGGTTTATTTTTATGGTTTTGTTGTAGGATCCCTGTTGTCATTTGTTGAGTGAAAAAACCATTGAACAATGAAGCCAATATTTTACCCGGAGAATGTAACAAAGAAATAGAGATCAGCAAGCATCATAATGGTGATTGTATCTATTTACGTTGTTTGTTCAGGATTTTCAAGGCCGTAGTTGTCGTTTTTGTTTATACAGAAGCACTTTGTCTCTTTTCCAAGATGCACTTTAAGTTTTGTGCGCTAATAGGCCGTTTAATTTGATGAAGAAGGAAGAGCTGGAAACGAATAAGTTAGAGAATATATCTTGGTGGGAAATTCAGTAATTCTATTTCATATGCGGAAGATTGTTTAAGTTAGCTTTCTTCCAGCTGTAATCCGGTGCTCCTGCGGAATAGCATACGTTATCCCTAAATTAAAATTCATAAGTGATGGCACTGTGCATTATTTTTGATAATTTTTGATGACCAAGAATTGAATTTCACTCAAAGTAAACCAACACCCTCAGTTTTTTACCAGAAAAAATTGAGAGTGTTAGTTGATTTTGAGGTTATGTTTACTTTACACTTCTGAAGCATTATTTCTTTCCTTCAACCAAAAAAAATTTGGTAAAGAAAACTATGGTCTTACTTGAGAGTGTTATCTCCATACGCCCAGTACATAAGGTATACATTACACATTTCGTCGTCTCCAGTATTCCCCATTACAAAAGCCTTGTTCTCTTTATTTTCCATAATGCATCGTGATGCAATCTGGAAGCGTTTTATGAATATGACGCCACTATTCGATGCAAATGTATGGGAATTGAAAGACATCGATCAAACCACTTACAGTATCCCCTTCCTGTATAACAACTCCTGTATCGTTGACTGGTTGAAACATTTGGGGCAGTAGTGGGTTACGTGCTCCAAGCAGTTGCCAGTAGTCGTTACCATCAGGAAGTTCTTTTACCACCCAGCTATCGACCTGGATTGAAGACAGTGGCTTGTTAAAGTGATGTTGATAAGATTGTATTTTTTTGTTAGTCACTTCGGCTAACTCTTATCTGTTTGAAATCATTTTTGTGCAGATAGTGCAGAAAAAGCAATTTAGGAGCTTTATGGTATTTTGCAGAAAAGTTGAACGGAGTTTTCATCGTCAATATATAAATAATTTGCATAGGTCAGTAATTATAAAAGGTAATTGGGAAAAATAATAAGTCAGACTATGCTCTTAAAAGTGATTTCATTGGTTTACACAAACACTCAATCTGGTAAAAATTTATGAGGTGTTGTTACTTTTATGCCATGACGATGAGTGTGAGTTCGGAAAGCAATTGGATGCAACTCAACGTCTTCGTCCACTACACATGCTGCTTCAAATGTTTCTGAAAAAAAAAAGGCTTTGTTAAATCATTCAGTGTCTGAGGAACGATGTTTGTTGATGCTCATAGATTAGTGAAATAAAATTTTAACGTTTACTAACCTTTAGACAGTGGTGGTAGTACACCTCCAGTAACCATCAACAAAACTGCAGCAGTTTTATCAAGTGGTTCTGTGGTTGATTCAATGGCAACACCGGAATTATCAGGTCCAAGCTTTTTCATATAATGTACTTGTAGTACCAAATATTTTATATCGGTTTCACCACCAACTTTAAAACCAACTCCTAAAATGACTGTTGGCAGATAAAAGAAGTCATAATTAGTGAAAAAAGATGTAGAAGAAAAAAGATAGGATATGATTGAATAAA